AAAACCAAAAAACTCAGGTGGTCATTTTCTTTGTTCTGTTTCATTGTTTAACCAGTAGAATTGCCCATTAATTTCTGTTAAGATCTTATTAGTACTAGGAGTACTACATATACTGTGTTCACAGTAAAAATATGTTAACTGTCAAAAAGGTAAGTGACCTGTTCTACATTACTATTTTATAGAGGTGATGACTTCAGAAACATCAGACAAACAAAACTACATAACGGATTTTCAAAGTGCAGATTTAAATACTGTCCAGCTCCTTAGCTGGTATGGACATTTATATTTCTTTTAATTGGCTTTCAAGAGTTAATGCTATTTCCTTGCTCATTTGTGTCTGTGCAAAAGCAATACTATTGTATAGCACAACAGATAAAAAAAATCTCTCATGTAAGTAGTGCTTTTGTTAAATTGTTACTGTGTTTCTGCTTTCAACATCGCAGACTATGCCTGAGGTGGGAATCTAGATGCAGGTTGCTGTGGAATAGAGCTATCTCCTCACTGGAAAGAGCCCTGTCTCTAAGCTAAGGCTAGATTTGGAACCAAAATTTATTTTAAAAGCATAATTATACACCTTCTCTAAAGCAGATGTAATATTAAATGACAAGTTCTCTTTTTGTTTTTTTTTTCGTTCCCTTATGAAAGCTGAATATAGATAATTACATTTAAATAATGTGCTGATCGTGATACAAGATTTAGCAACCAAAGCTTGGGACAGTTTTATTTGAAAATCCCTTATTCGATGCCATCATTAAGCACATATGGAGAAAGAGGGGGAGTAAACGTTGAAGGATCATACCTCTTAGTTTTACAGTGCAGGTTTGCCAAGAAAATGGCAGCTCTCCGGTGCTAGCCAGCAACATACGCCAAATCGTATAGACAAGCCATGTGTCAGGTGCCTGTTCTTATTCTGTCTTCCTTTTAAAATAATAATAAATACCAATTATTGAAGGTATGTTAAATGTTTTGGTATGCTAAATGTTTTAGGTAGCTAGTCCCTTAAACAGGCTAAATTAAACAACCCTAGGTAATTCTAGCCCATAAACTCTATAGACACTGATTTATAATTCATGCTGGCATATCACATAATTTCTGTACTTTCACTTCCAAACTTTTGAGAACAATGGCACTGTGTAACACCTTGTTTCGCTTAATGATTATGGAATGCAGTCAAACAGATTTCACTTGTGAAGCTATCACTAACTTTTTAGGTTTCTTTAAGTGTTCTCTCAATAAAACTGAAGTACATAGAAGAAGGAAAACAGTTGTAGAAATTTGACAGTTATCTTCAGAAACTTGGGGGATAAGATTTGATACATATACCAGGGAAATGGAAAATTTAAGACAGAAATTGGATTGTGGAGATCAAGGAGTATTCAGGGAACTTTCTGAAAACACAAATACTGATTCCTTCTATTTTGTACCTATTAAATTATACTGTTCTTGTCATCCTTCTTTTCTTCTCCTGCGTTCTCTGGATGCTAATTCTACACCTTACGATGCTTACCTGTAAAACTTCTTCATTTGCATAGGATATAGAAGTAGGCCTTTTGCAGGTGTAGGTATATGTTATCCAGAATATTCATTAATAATACAGTGTTACACTGGCTAAAATCCAAGATAGCTACTATGCCTATCTACCTCCCTCATCCTCTGTAATTCTTTAAGTGCTCTCAACTAATTTTCAGCACAATTTTCTTTGGGATCAGGGAGTTGGGAGGGGAAAGAGACAGAAGTCTAAGATACCCACATTTCTAGAAGTTTTATGAAACTAAGAAGCTGAGAAAAGGAAGGATGCCATATGAAAATCCCCAGGGCTGTATTGCAAACTCTAACCCATTATCAGGCAAAGCGACTCTACATGGGGGGAGGACAGAGCATAGCTGGGGGACAATTCAGATGGGATGGTATCTTACCAGTTACCAAGGAATCCAACCCTGCGAAGGCAGGTTTCATTAGTCTTTATACTCACAGAACTGCTTTCTTTAGTTTGCTGGTTCAGTTGGCAGAAGCAGTGAGGTTTGCAGCTTTCTTGTTTCAGTTCAATACCATGTAGCAGAGTATTTGTTTTGCAACTTAAAAAAAAATTAAATTACTAGAACTAGTGTGACTGCGACCACAATCTTTTAATGCAGGAATATCTGTTAACGCAATTAGTTAGGAAATTAAAATTATATTTCACAGAACTATTAGCAAATTCCACTCCTTCCACAGAGACTGAAGGAAAAAAGGTTTTTTGGAGTGAATGGTAATTCCTTAATGACTAGTTCAGTGAATAATTACAGACTGCAGGGCATTGAGCCATTCATTGGAAGGGGAGCTCATGGGTGATGTCAGTGGAGTTCCATTTTTATGCAGTAATGTCTCAAGATAATGCCAATACAAAACAGAATGGTGTTTGACATTTAGGAGAAGATGCAGACAGGAAAACTTGGAAGTGTTAATAAATGTATGTTTGGTAACATTCTTTTTTGATCAGAATGTTGTTAGTAATACCATATTGAGCCTATAGAAAATGAACCTTTAAAATAAAGTTCTCCACAAGAACATTTTCCTATGGCTTTATAGCTTTCATATATAGGTTTCATAGCTAAAACTAAATAAGCTTGAGATTTCCCCTGGTGCTCTCCATGTTTTATGGAATGTTTCAAGAAGAATATAATCTTACAGAAGAGTATTCTGTGGAGTGCAGTTTGAACAATCCAGGGAATTGCTCATGGAGTACAACACTGCTCATTTTGCCAGCCTTACAGACCTGTAGGTTGTTCCACCTCAGTCACAGTCTTCTCTCCTTATTATGTTCCTGATGCGCTGATATGCAGCTTCCAAAGTAGCAAAAGAATATTATTCTCTGGTGTTTTTTCTACATTAAAATAAATTAATGTCTTGGCAGGAGTGATAGCCATGATGACCTTGGACTGGTGCTACACTAATGACAAAATCCAAGCCTGTACATTGGTTACTTTCAGGTTTTGCACGTCATTTTCTCCAGGCCAACTGCAATAACAGGCATGAACAAATATAACTCATGTAAGTTTCACTTAAAATCTTTTATCGTCTGATCTTGCTGGATCATATTCTTCAGTGAACAGGTCAGATACGTCTGAAAATTTGTGCTGTTTTCTTACTTTATCACAGCTGTTCTCACTGTTTCCCTTCACCTTTGCAAGTCACGTGCGTTATTACTACATGGTTGATACATTTGGCATTGAGATGTCTGCACCTTGGGCAAAGAACAAATGGCAGATTTCTCATTTGCTTCAATATTCTTGCAGTGTTTCACGAAGACGCTTCATAGGAAGAAATGCGCATGCTCTCATGCTCATTATTCTTTTTTTAATCTTTTTTTTTTTTTTTTTTTTTATTTTTTGTTAATTGAGAGGTAGTACATTATTTTATGTGCGTCAGGCAGGCTTTCAGTCAACGCTGACCTCTTTCCATTCCCTAGGTGTTTGTTAGGTTTTGTGGGTTGGTGGTTTTTTTGTTTTGTTTTTGTTTTTTAAAAAGCAGTTTCCTGTTTCATAGTGGTTGTTCACAGGAGTAAAATTATCCTGTAAGCCATTGGCATGGGACGCCAAAGCTTGATAGCAATGAACTTCTTTTTAAGTCAGTCAGTCTTGCAATGATACTTGATATAGTTATATTTAGACTAAATAAAATATGGTGTAGAACCCTTTTCTTGGCTTCTCAGACACATCGTATGTACACCCTCATACACCTGACTGAAGCTGGGGAGGTGAGGACTAGAATGAAGAATGGACAGGATTTGTGAAGTTATTCAGAGTTGAGGGTAGGGAAGGGTTGGCTGTTGTCTTTTAAGTATCTATTTTTAAAATAAAAAGTGTTTATAAAAAGAAATGAGTTTTTTCTTTTTATTTAAAGAGAGAAAGCTCAATCTTTTGCTGCTGTTAGTGTTTGTGATGACTTCAAGGGCTTCTTCAGTGTCCAGCAACTGCAGTAGGAACTGATTAAAAAGATTTGTACTCTATGCAAACGTGATGTTTCAGGTACTTTAATAATAGCTAAAGCTTCCCACTGCATGCAACTGTGCAATGTTGCCCTTGTGCCCCCACCCCCGGTCTCTGGTTACAAGTCTATAAATTAAGAAAAAGAAAAAAAATCTTAATGGGTTAGATCTATAGCAGATACTCCAGCAGGGATGAAAATCTTTCTCTTATTGAAATAGGAATTTCCTTGTATCTTTGCCAGCTCTCACATTAATACACATGATCACGTTATTCCATAATAACATGAGAAATAATTATTTTCTAATGAAAAGTAGTTCTGTGTTTATATCTAGCTTACAGAGCATTGCTTTCTAACCTCTGCATTATAGTTTATCTATTCTGCTTGCTCTGTTAGCATGTCTCCACTTGTTTCAGTGACTTTATGGTAATGCATTCACTTTGGTGCAACTACCAAACCAAAATACGTTAGCTGAGTCTGAAGAGGTCTATATACAATGCCAAAACTAATCATACTAACGGAAAGGAAAATACACAAACCATAGCTGTGCCTGTGTATGATGAGCACGGTGTTCTGCACGCAAAAGCATTATCGATTTGTACTTTCTTACTCCTTATGCTCTGCATTTTGTGCAGAAAAGAACTTTCTTCCACCCCCTATCTACCTCCTACTTCCTAGCTAATATTAAAAGCAGAGACAGCTCTATAAAGAAATTATGTTGCTGAGGTCATTGCTTTTATAAAGTACTCACTAGCACTTTATGAAGTATGAAAAAATGTTGTTTAAAGTACTGTTGAATACAGATTGCATAAAATCCACACACCTTTTTTGCTTTCTACTCTGTTTCTTCTCTAATTTCTCCAAATTTTGAGATTGAGGCACCTTCTTTTGCTGCTTACTGCATAGCCAATCTACTCCACAAGAAGAACCCTCTAGTTCTATTCCTGTTCCATAATGTTATCTGTTTTTGTGGTGTTCTAAGTGTTGTTCTTTTTTTTCTTTCTTTTTTTTTTTTTTTCTTCCCATCCAGGTACTGCTATGTGGATATTTGTTAGCAATGACTGATGTGGAATCTACATATGCAGACTTTATTGCTTCAGGAAGAACAGGTAGAAGAAATGCATTACATGACATACTTGTGTCCTCTCCGGGTGGGAACTCTAGTGAACTGGCCTTAAAGTTATCGGAACTTGATATAAATAAAGCCGGTGAGTACATTTTGGTCTTTTGTTATAGTTATTTAAAACTAAAATGAAATGAGTAGTACACAAAACACGGTTTACCTGCACGCATTATTCCCTTGTCCCTCAGCAACAAAAATATTTTTTTCTGATAATGGAAGATCAGCAGGGGTTGCCTGCAGTAAGAAGCCCAGACTTCATAAATGGGAAGGGTGGTTATTTGCAAGTCCAACATATTGCTGAAAAAAGAAAAATCACTCTGCAGTGAGTGCCTAGTGGGAAAGTCCATGTCAGGATAAATTTTATGTATAAGGAAGTAAATAAGTATAAGGAAGAAAATAAGGAAGTCTTTATTAAAAGCCAGCTCTTTGTAATAGCCTTTAATGGAAGCTCTTTGTTTTGAAGCCTGTAGGAGAAGCCTTGTGTCTGCTTGAAAGGTTATCGTGGAGATTAATTTTGTTTTCAGCTGCCAGAGGACAGAGCTATAGCAATGCATTGTTGTTTGTTTTAATTGGATCTTTGTTTCTGGGTAAATTGTCTCATTCCCCTTTCTGCTGACACTTTGTCCGTCTTTTAAGGTGATTAGCACTAATGCAATCCTAAATCTTACTTCACCTCTAATATTACCAACATTTTTAGCTGGTTGTGCACGTTCAGTTGAGAGGAAGGAGGGACAGTATATGGTGAAGGGTCTTACGTGAAATAAAAATAGTAATATGACTGTGTAATTATTTTCATGTTACGTGGGTGGGGGTTAATGAATAGATCTCAGAGATATTTGAAAGCCCTTTTCAGATCTTAGGAAAGAGGTCTTATGTTTATTTTAATAACAGAAGAAGAAAACAAGTGCAGCAAAGAACAAATTGTTCATAAGCAGCTGCCCTGTTTGTGCACGTATTTTTCTCAGACAGAATGGCAAGAGTTCTGAGAGGCAGTCTCATCACCGGACAATCAGATGTGGGCAGCGTGATGTTTGGGTGGTTGTAGCACTGTTTGAAGTGGGGGATTCTTTTTTTGGCTTTCAGACTTAATGTACATCCTAAGTCATTCCTTCTGTAGTTGCCAGTTTCGGGCCTATAGCTTCTAGGTTCTTGCAGTTCCAGCTGAGCAGGGCCTTTTTTTTTTTTTCCCCCTAGTTAAAAAAAAAAAAAAAAAACAAACTTTATTACTGTAGGTGTGTCTATTTATTTTAATGTGGGGATACATGTAAAATGTGGGAAAAACATAAAGTAGGTGGCATTTGAAATGCATAATGCCAACCTTCCTTCTTGCTTTCATTTTCTTCAGTCTCAAATTTACACTTATCAACATTGTCTTTGATCCTGTCCATTTAGAAGATACAAACAATCCCTATTTTTAAGTTAAGCTTTTGGAGTGATTGTAAGCCAGAACTGTGTTCTTTTGTGAGCTATAAAAAGAATGTGGCTTTGTGCCTGTAGTATATGTTGGTATGCACTTTGTACGTGCAGTTAGCTCTGTAGTGATGAGAATGGTTGAAATAACTGTTAGCCTAATTTTTAATGCATAATTCAGGAGTCTATTTAGTCTTTCTTGGAGACCTCTTTTGCACCTAGGGTAACTTAATGATTGCAGAAAAAGTATACAGAGTTGCTCATAAAACTACCTTAGGTAGCAGATACACAAAAATGCCTGAATACTTCTTCAGGAGGTTATGCAGTTTGAATTAGATACAATGAAAATATATTTAATTTTTGTATTATTATTACACCTAGGTGCCAGATAAAAGCTTCCAAACCACAAATATTGGAAAATGCATTGTATTATCATTCATATGAGTATTAGTATATTATCCATGTCTTTCCAAATCAGAGAGGCTAAAAAATATTTTGCATCCCAAATTCCAGTTCAGAATATACTAGTGCTTGTGGGATGCATATATGCATCACACCTGACAGGATTAAGAGGAAAACAGATGTTTGGGGATTATATCTTATTTCTTTCAAGGTGCATGTCAAACAATTTATGCCAAGTACTACCTAATTATACAAATATAGACATCAGGTTCGATTCTTTTTCTTTTATTCTTATTACAGCTATATGCATTTTATTGCAAAAGTGCAAGTACATTTGCTTTCAGCTGCATGGAGTAATGGCAGAGTAGGATAATGCAGATAAAAAAAAAAGGTTATTATAAAACATATGTAAATTAAGCTATCCAAGCATATTTAGTACATTCACTTTGAAAAGCCTGCAGATACATTTCCTGTAAAGAACAGGAACAGCTTTGAACAGCACTAGGCAGTGAGGCCTTGTTCAAAGACCACATATTTTCTGTCATGCACTATTTGATACCTGACGTGAGTGCTGGTTAATCCCCTTGTTGATGAGCCAACGACAGATAATCAAGAGTTGACTGCATAATTATGTATAATACATATAATTACTGCATAATACTCTCCCTTCAAACAACTGTTCCAGTGTTCCTTGCCCATAATAAGCTAACAACCTACTAATATCTACGGAATGGACATATTTACCAAACTTTAAAATACAGGTTCCAAGTATTCTGTGGCAATGCATTTTATCTAAATTTAGTAACACACTGGGTACATCTGATAAGTAGAAAACTGCAACAGAAATCATAAGACAGAAGGCAAAACAAAGATTTTAGTAGGGAAATCAGCAGGTAGCTCACCTGCTCAACTCTGTCAAGGTAACAAATGAAAGAAGAAACTTTATTTTAGGTTCATCTTACAGGTGATCATAGCTAAATAAAGTAGTAAGGAAAAAGTACAATGAGGAACGAGGACCGGTCTCTGCAAGTCTAATCTCTAAAACAAGCTGCTGGTTTTCTAGGTGTCCACAGATAATACCACAGAACACAGATTCAGTGCAGAAGCGGAAAGGCGACTTCCTTGTAAAGTTGTAAAAGTCCAATCACCTGAAAAAATGGGGATACTAGAGGCGTTTAAGTCAGAACTAGAATGAAGGACTGATTGCAGAAATTTGTGATTAAAAGTGATTTTAGTTCATGGTAGAAATGTTTTAGGTGTAAGCATTGGGAACACTGATAGACGTTGAAGAGTCAGTAATGTTACAGGAAGAAAAATAACTTAAAAGCTGCACACTAGCAGAACTAGTAACTTGCTAGCTTACCAACTCACACAACTGTATTATGGCTTACAGTACCATATTGTTTGGTTTGGGTTTTTTTAATACTGCCTCTTAATTTCAAAATGCTGTGTAAGAATCGCAACTTTTACTCTTAAGAGCTTATAGCCATCATGTTTTTAAGGAAGAATAGTTGAAGAGTGTGCTTAGGCAATTTTGGGATTCTCAGAATCTAAAAGCAAAATTATTTCTGTAAACGTATTTTAAGGCCTTTGGTAGGAGAGCTCTGCCAGCAGAAAGACAAAGTCTGTAGTACCAAAACAGTGTATCATAGATTGGGGTTAGACTAGTGAAATTTTTCAGTGAGTTGAGCAAATCTTTGAAGTGGTATATTAGAACCTTAGAGCTCTTTCTCTGAATCTTTGTGCACTATGTTTAACATGTAGGTAGTGAAATGTTTGGGCTTCATGTCCAGGATGGATTTTTCTTTTAAACAGAAATACCATGCAAGGATTTTTCTGTCTTTGGTTTTGCCTCCTCTTTTTTTTTTCTTTCAGGAAAGCTTGACTTGCCCAGATAGTATGAGGGATATTTAGGACTTCCTATCAGTCAGAATAAATGGAGTAAAGAGCAGGCAAAAAAAGAATAAAAAAAATCAGATTGCACTCATCTGGACTTTTGCAGTATCAGAACAAATGTACGAGGCTTTGTAGAAAATGTTTGGACAACCTGGGCAAAAGGGATTTCTATCCAATAGCAAATAATTGCATGTAGATCCATCCTGATGGAATCCTTTGTAATGTGGGAGAGAAAGAAAACTGAGAACTAACAAGTTTTCTGAGAAAGTGCCTTGCAGAACAAATTTTTATTTATTACTCAACCCATAATGAACAGAACAAACCTCACTGTTTAATAGGTTAAGCAACATTCCATACAACTTTTCATCGGGTTGAATTTGATAATTACCAGTACCCTCCAAGGCATTTTGCCACCTAAATACTCAGTGCATGCACGAAACACACTATCGCGTCTGAGCTTTTTGCAATGTTCTTTGCATTGCAAAGAACTTTTTTTCCCATTAGCAATGTGCCATTTCTTCTATCTAGAAAAGAGAAGGGTTTATGGTGCTTATTTCTATAAATAGAAATAAAGCTGCAGATGTACAGTGTGATTTGAAATGGGGAAACAATAAATATCTGTATTGAGAACGCTGCCTTTATTCTAAAGATCTATAAAGTTAAGGGGCACTACTAGCTCTACTTAAACCTCTTTACAACTTAGTGCATGGAATTTTCTTCTCTTAAATACTGTATCAAGCCAGTTCGATACAAATTACTCGGAATCCTTGCAAGATACAAGAGACAACTTATGTCTTAACATTATTCCTTACCTAACATTATTCCTTATTATGTACCTATAGCTAATTAGCCCAGTGTTCAGGGACTTCTGTCTTACTTGCACTTAGCTTCTAGCTGTCTGAACGTGTTAGGTCTTTAATCGTTAGATGAAATACAATATTTCACATATAGGTACTAATAGACCATTGTCAATGCACTACTTGGCCTTCTTTAGACAGGCTTTATGAGCAGTCTGCTCACTGTGCCACTGTAAGATGCTTTCTATTCCTCAGATCGTTCTGTGGTTTGCAGTGAGACAGCTGGACTGAACGCCGTGGGGCATGGTACTGAAAATGGATGCACAGGATGAACACAGCTTTAACAAACTATTGCTTTTATTGAAGTTGCCTCTCTTTCTAGTAAATTCTGTTCAGACTTGGTGTAATGAGATTTTTTTTTCCTCTTATATTGTCATAGTATCATAGTGAATAAATTGCCAAAAACACCCTACCATTTTTGTTAAATTCTTTCATTTCTAGCTACTTTAGGTCTGTACTTAAAATGATAGTGGTGGTTGCAGCTGGGAATTTGTTTTTTAAAGTACCTCTTGAGATGCATAGTATGGCTATCTTAGTAGTAAAAGGTTTCATATTTAATGCAAGATTTCAGTTTCAATTTCTTTTTACTTTGTTTTTGAGACTGGTGGGTGAACAGTTGGGGTTCTAGGAGCAAGACCCCTTTGTTTTAGGGTGGATCACTCGTCCTTTTCTTGTGTGTTACAGAAGGAGAAGGAGATGCACAACGAAATCCAAGTGAGCAAACCGGGGAAGCCCAAGGGGAGGCAGCAAAGCAAGAAAGCTGACATCCAACTTTGACCGACTGGAGCAGCTGCTGGATGTTTTCAGACTACAAGAGCATGCTGGAACAAATTTGTTTCCATGAGCAAGCCGGTGGAAAAGAAAGTGCATGTGTCTTCACTGCTGGAACCCACTCAACACAATGCTAAAAATGGGGGTACAAGCTGTGGCAGAAGACAGAATTTTCTCTACCTCTGTCATTAGCAATGGTTGAACATGTGTTGATTTTTTGGGATAGTGTCATCAGATGGATCCCTTCGTAATGACTACTTGATGGGAACACTTTTATGAAAGTAGAACAGGTAAATCTTGTAGCAAATGGCCTTTGAAACGTCAGAGGATCTAATTGTGTATCTTAAGAAAAGGCTTGTGTGATCCTCAGAATTTAAAATTCTCTGGCCAAAGTGTTCACCCATTAAAAGAACTGTAAAGAAAGCACTGTTTTTAGAACTTTCTGTCTGTTTTACAGCTCTGTTATTTACAATGGTTTTTGTATTGTACGACTTAGATGCTCCACACTGCCCCTTCTCAACTGCTTATGAAGAATATTTCTGTTACTGTGAATTTTTCTACCGCGCGTTTTGAAAGGGCTGTTTTTGCATAATGTGGTGATGTGCACATGATAGATTTAAAACATCAACCGCTAAATTGATTATGCCTAAACCTAAATGACTCGGCAACACTAATTTGTTACTAGATCAGCCCTCAAAACGATTTGTTAATGTGAATACTTCAGCGTGTTTTGTGTCCTTGGTACAGTTTTGCCACTTGCCTGTAGTTAGTTGCATATCAGAGACTCAAATTGAATCTTTTATGTTACTCTTACCCCTTTTTCTAGTTTTACTCCCAATTTCTTAATCTTTCTCTGAGATATTTTTTTAAAATGTTAGTCCAAGTATTTTATTGTTATGGTAGTTTTAAGAATACATTTATAACCTTATATGGGTTAAAATTCAGATGAATTCCGTGGTGCTAGAGATTTTCCTGGTTCGCATTGTTAAAGATGGGCCTTTGTTTACACACAGGAGAATAACTGGCATAGGTTATTGCCAATTATGCATTCTGGAATGAGTTTTAGATTGCAAGATAGTCCAAGTAGTGGATCATGGGCTGGATCCAGCCAGGGGGACTATTTTTTTTTCTATTCCTTGCCTTTGCCTCAGTTGATCAGGCTGTTGAGTTTGCACAGCCAGTAGCCTGTTACTGATGCACCAGGTATAGCCAAGCGCTAGAAGCTGCTACAGCAGCCTTTTGGCTAGGATGTGGAGAGATAAGTGAGAGACTTGGCATCTAGCACCCAAGAGACTGTATTTTTCCCATTTTGGCTATTCCAAAATGACAGTCCAAACTGGACCTTCATTGAAATACCAGGATAGCTTGTCCATCCAGAGGATTACTTAAAATACCTACAAATTAATAACCTATTCTGCAGTAGCTATGCTGATTGATTTCCTTCCCCCCCATCCCGCCCCCATAGACAAGGCCATACATG